ATTTGATGGGAAGCTCTCTGCTTCACAACTGTCATAGTGTGTGTGTGTGTGTGTGTTCCCCCCCCCCCCTCCAAGTTAAAACTAGTCTGATATTATTTATCTATTCAGGATGATTCAGTCTTTAAGGAATGAGGCAAAGAAGTCGAAGGATACATTTGCACATCTTCAAGAAATTCAGAATCTATCAGACTTGCATTTTTAAATTGTTTCCTGGATTTTGCTGGTATGTTGGATGAGTTGGCCTGCTAGTATGTTCTGGCATATTTTTCTGGTTATGGAACCCGTCCAGTAACGAAACTTGCTTGCATGATTGACTGCCAGGTAATTTAGAGCACATTGTAAGTGAGCTTAAGCAGTATACCCCAAGTAGGGAAGGCTCCTTCTTACCAAATGGATATTCACATGAATTTGAAGAAAATGTATCTTCTGATCTTCATGGAGGTTTTGCTGATCCCCACCAGCAGTTTCTAATAGTTCTAAGTAATATCGGATATTGCAAGGATGAGCTCTCTCATGAATTATATGGAAAATATGAGCATGTTTGGCTGAGTTCCAGGTACTTTATCATTGTTTCCTTTCGATGCTACTAAAATGCTAATAAATTCTTCAGTCTACAGACGTAAGTAAAAACTGCTGCACTCACCTGGATGCATTACCACTGTAGTTGAATGGAGTTTGCTGACCTGATTCGGTTCCAAGAACTAATCCTGCCAGCAAGTTTTCATTCATTTTATGTCAGAAATTTTCAGGATCTTTAATCAGTTTGCCCTGTGTCCTTGCTTACCAAGAATTCACACACCAGATTGATATCTACCACTCTGATGATTCTTATTATCTGTATTGTTTTCGCTGTTAACTGCTATGGAGATATGTTTTGGCTAAGAATAAATTGTTTCTCTTGCTGCATCAGCTTTGTTGCTTCCTGCTATAAAACATTTTGTTCACAATTGAGTCTCTTGTATATTATTCATGAATTCTGGTACTTGGTTTGCCTTTACCTAATTCAGGGGTAAAGATGAAGCAGATAGTGATGTCCAAGATCTTGTCATGTGTTTCTCTGGGCTTGAAGAGAAGGTCCTTGAACAATATACTTTTGCAAAGGTAATGAGAAAATATGTCTACTCCCTCATGTCCTGTAAGATTTTTTTTTTTGGTTAAATTGTGTGGTAGTTCTCCTATAAATCTTTTCTTACATATGTATGGAACTCCATTTCTCTAGAAAGTTCAAATTTAGATCAATTATTCTCCGGGATCCTTAAAAACCTGGACTTTTTCTCGTTAAGAAAAACTGTGCTCGGTTTTCTTACTTTCAGTGTTCAACACGTTTCCTTGTTCTTTCATCAGGCGAACTTGATCAGATCTGCTGCTATCAATTATCTGTTGAATTCTGGCATTCAGTGGGGAGCAGCACCTGCAGTTAAAGTGAGTTGCAAGCAATGATAAGCGTTATTGTAAATGTGACAGCTTTCATTATTTTTTCACTCCAAAATGTTTACTTCTTTTTCTGGATTTTTCTTTAACCTAGAGTACCATTTTCAGGGTGTGCGTGATTCAGCAGTGGAGTTGCTGCACACATTGGTAGCTGTGCATGCAGAGGTAATAATTGCATGCTAATGGAAATTATCTTTTCTTTCTTTTTTTTAATGTTGCAAGATAAATTTGGACAAGGAGACACGTGTTTTTTGAAAATACAACCATTCTGCTCCAACCCCGAGTCACTGAAGCGCACTAACTAAACATTTGCCCCATACCCCGGCAAATAACTTTGAACTTCTGAAGAAAAAGACTTCCACTATATAGAGCATAGCCAATTTTTCAATTGGGGGGGGGGGGGGAAGAACCGCCTCTGTTTTTTTTTTTTTTTTAAGAGAGGCCAAAATGGAAGAAGGAAAAGAAAAGAAGAATATTGTGTCTATTTCTGAATGAGATTATCGCAGATACCTTAGGAGGTGTAGTCTTGATTTGTTGCCTTTTTAAAATTAATGCTTGACTCGATCTTAGGCAATAAAATTCTAAATGGGCTTTGAATGAGGAGTTCTGCTGAATGTTAATCTTACCCTTTTTATACTGTTTCTGACCTAATGCCAATGGTAATATATTTTCTAACTTCACAATATGTGGTCCCAAGCAGATCTACCATTTAGGAGCCTTGTTTATGAACCTGGATTTATGTCAAAATAATATTTGGTCAATGCTAAAGGAGGCAAATTGTTATTTTAGTATATTTGTATGGAAATATTCTGCTGAGATGAACTGTGCCTTGTCATAGGTTTTTGCTGGTGCTAAGCCCCTCTTAGATAAGACACTAGGCATTCTTGTGGAAGGCCTCATTGACACCTTAATCAGCATTTTCCATGAAAATGAAGCTACAGATCTTAGGACTCTTGATACGAATGGATTCTGTCAGCTCATGTTGGAGGTATGTTTCATGCAATTTTATGTAGGTAGAATTACAAACAGGTCCCAAGTAAAGAAATTAAAAATTTTCTCAATCCCGTATACAAGTCAAACTTCTATGGTTACAGTGGTTAGGACCTATGGGTGATTAATTTTCTTATTTGGGACCTATATGTAGTTCTCCCTTTTATTTATTTCTTTAACCATGCACTATGATCATAGCACACAATGTCAACTATGATTATCTTGATATATAGTATGCATTTGAGTCATTTCTTTTGACAGTTATATCGATGGTTGTGCTTGCTAGCATGAGTGAAAAGGGGGAAATTTAATCGAAACATCCCTTTCTTCCTTTCCGTTTGTTCTTGCCAGGCTGTTCATTTGACATCAGAAAATCATCCATTCCTCTATTGTTATCTTGAGTTTCTAAACGTGTCTGCCATGAGGCACGGCCCTTTTACTTCAAAAGTTTTGCCCGTCTAACATTGATGATTTTTCCACACAATAGAAACTCCTTCGCATCTTTTGATTGTTGGTAAAATAATGGCCTTTTTGCCTCTCCCCCCCCCCCCCCAAAAAAAAAAAAACTGGTAATACAAAGGATTTGAATTCTAGAGCACTATTTATATCTCACCTTAAATATCATGACTCAATGCTGAGATCTGATGGATTTGATCAACTGGCTTTCATTTATGCAGCTTGAATACTTTGAGACAATATTAAACCCGTATTTTACATCCGGTGCAAGAGAGTCCTTGAAGTCCTTGCAAGGTTTGCTTCTAGAGAAAGCAACGGAAAGCGTGACTGATATTGTGGACAATCCTGGACACAATCGTCGGCCAACTCGTGGAAGTGAAGATGCAGTTGCAGATGACAGGCTACAAGGGGCAACTGTATCACCGGATGAACTTATTGTAAGCGACTTCTTTATGCATTTTGACTTTTTGTTTCGCTACAAATCCTTGGTTTTTGCTGGATTCGACCTGCTACATAAAGATGGTGTTGTATTTCATTTTATTCCCTCATAGGAATCACTTTGTTCAATTTATTTTATTCCGTGTATCACCCGAGCAGTTAAAATTGTGCTTGTGCATTTCAGGCTTTGGCACAGCAGTATAGCTCTGAGTTGCTTCAATCAGAGCTGGAGCGGACACGTATTAACACGGCATGTTTTGTGGAATCAATGCCTCTGGGTTCGGTGCCAGAACCCGCGAAAACTGCATACTCCACCTTCAAGGGATCAATGGATTCTCCTAGCAGAAATTATAGAGGTACCAATCACACAGGATCCCCAAGTTTCTCTCGGAGACAACGATGAGTATTTCAGCAGCCATTCCCTTTGTTTTCCTGTTATGTGTTGTTGTATTTTAGTTTAAATATAGTTAATAATGGAATATTGAACTCTCGTGCTTTGCTGTCATTTTTTCCCCTTTTATTGGTGTTTTTGGTTCTAATGGGAGTTTTGGGCCTTGTATTCTGTATAGAAGTTTCTTTTGGGGGGGCTTAGTTAGGCAAGGTTAATGTCTTTTTTGGTTTTCTTACTTCTTACATGGTATCATTTAAAATGTTAATATTTTTATATATATTCTTTTTTAAAATTTAGGTATTAAATTTTAAAAAGTTTGTTTTAGTAAAATATAATTATATTTGGACTCAATAAAGGACTGCATAACGTGCTCATGATTGTGTCATGATTCACACTCAATCTGAGGATTAGTTATGTTGAATCCCCATTGCCGTTTGCCGAGTAGGGTTTTACGTTGTTTTGGGTTTGTATCTCCGTATCCATCAAATCCAGGCAATGAATGCAAATGGTTATCTCTTATAACGCTAATTTGTTGGCAGCTCCAACATGCCTTCATATCAAACGACTGCTGATTATATAATGAAATGGCAACGAGACCGCAATTTCATTCGAATTACGCCCTGTAACAGTATCCCAGGAAAGTCGTTGAGCCACATTGTAGTGAGACTATCCATATATGGCATCAGTATTGATGAATGCATCATATTAACTTTAATACCTTCATAATAACGAGGCTCCAAAACAAGATAATTTTTCTACAAATATGGGTGTATTATTTAAAAACATTAATTTAAGCAATTCCCGACCTCAATGGCAGCACCGAAATCTCCAATAAAAAGACTATATTTGCCCCCTTTCTTTTAATTAAAAAAGGTGTACGGTATACTGTAAGAAATGTTTGTATTTGTCATGTTTTTATCAGCAAAATTCATGTGCAGAGGTTATTTCCTTCTTTGCCATGAACGTCTTGATGTTCCAACTGGCTCAATTCTATTGGCACTCGGCATGTGCTCCCACATAACAACGATCCATAACCTACCAACTTCTACCCTTCAATTGTTTATTTGGGAAGACATGGATTTGGGTAAGGAACTGATTTCTTATATTAACATTTTTATTCAACTAGATTTTATGAATTCGATTTTAAATTTCAAATTGCACGTTATGTTATTAGCGCAATATTAATAATAACAGAATTGGATCACATGGTGTTAGAGAGTACGAAGCTTGCGTGTAGTCTCGCTGGCCTAGAAGTTGCATGCCTTCATGCGTTGTATAAATACGCCTGCGCCTTGTCTATTATTTCTGCTCACACTCAGCGCCAAATAATGGACGCGCCACCACCTGATCCCAAACGCCGCCCTCCTTTATTGTCTTCCTCTTTCCCCATCACTCTCAAGGTATCTCCGCTTCTTTTAATCACTTGTCTCTCACTTTCTGATCTCAATTAAGGATTTGAATTACCTGCCTTTATATGTATCTGTCATGCAGTTCATGGACGTGACTTACAGGGCCAAGATAGTGAACAAGCATGGAGGCAGAAGCATCAGGCGAATGTTCGCACCTTCGTCCCACCAAGGAACAAACCCCGACACCACCTCGTTACGAGAGCGAACCATTCTCAACGGTATTACCGGTATGGCTTCTCCGGGGCAGATCCTGGCCGTCCTCGGCCCATCGGGCAGCGGAAAATCAACGCTCCTGAATGCAATATCCGGCAGACTCAAAGGAGACGGCCTCGCCGGCACTGTTCTCGCAAATGGCGCTAAACTCAGTAAAACCATTCTTCGGCGAACCGGCTTCGTCAGCCAGGACGACTTGCTCTACCCTCACCTCACCGTCCGGGAGACCTTGGTCTTCTGCTCCCTTCTTCGCCTCCCAACAAGTCTCTCAAAGAAGGAGAAGATGGAGGTGGTGGACTCGGTGATCTCCGAGTTGGGTCTGGGGAAATGCGAGAACACCATCGTAGGCAACAGCTTCGTCCGGGGAGTGTCAGGGGGCGAAAGGAAGCGCGTCAGCATCGCGCGCGAGGTGCTGATGAACCCGAGCCTGTTGATCCTGGACGAACCAACTTCGGGTCTCGACTCAACGGCGGCGCAGCGGGTGGTGAAAACTCTGAGGTCGCTGGCGCAGAAGGGGAAGACAGTGGTGACGTCGGTGCACCAGCCGTCAAGCCAGGCGTACCAAGAGTTCGATGCGGTGCTGCTGCTGTCGGACGGGAAGTGCCTGTACTTCGGGAAAGGCAGCGACGCCATGAGCTACTTTGAGTCAATCGGATTGACGCCGTCTTTCCCAGTGAACCCCGCCGATTTTCTGCTTGATCTCGCTAACGGTACGTCATTCGTCTTTGTTTCTTTTTCGGTATTTTCATACGCATGTTTGCTGTTACTGAAATTAATGGTAACGAATTATAAATATACGCTTGAACTATATGGTAAGTTAGAGGTAAGTTTCGGGTGCAGGAGCGCAAAGAAATGGAAGTGACAGGAGTAAATTTTTTTTCCTTTATTGTGAGCATTTGCATGGAGTGCGACTACTCATAATAATTCATATATAAATTGTGCGGCTCTACATAATCTGCTTATATTTTAAGCTGATAATAACACACATAATGATCGAAGCAATGGTTTGTAAAATATGTGCGAGTGAATTTGGAGAGGTGCGTGACAGTGTGGTGATCTGAGTGGTGAGGGTGTTATTGGTGTGTTGGGCAGTTTGGGTGGTTACGTGGGAAGGCATTTCTATGACGAAGGAGTTAATTAGTTAGCTAGAACTAATTAATTGGTTTTGATTTGTGGGTTATAAACTTCAATGGGCACACATGGCATCTTGCTAATTGCGACGCAAGACTCATTGTTAATGTGAGGTGCTAATACAATATTATAGTGTATTACATTATATTAATTAATTCTCTCTTCAAGTGGGAACATAATCCAGAAAACAATCCAATCAATCCGATTCAGTTGTCGTGGTTGTTTCTCAGTCACATCTTTTCTTTTCATCCCCCCCCCGGGGGGGGGGGGGGGCCTTCCTTTATCAATTATGATCAATTATCAACTTATACATTGCTCATGGGGGAAATTCCTTCACGGCCTATATGCAACACGCGTCTTCTTTCCCTTTGAGGCGGTTGTTTTTTAATTCATGGGGCCAACTTGATTTGTTGCCTACCTAGTGATGCATGCCCCTCTCAAGGATTCGCATTGTTAGAAGGGCATCCCTTCTTTATGGGAGCTTCACAAAAATATTTCTTCTCTTCTTTTCCCTTACTCATAATATTTAACCAAAGATCCCATTCACCATAACATCAGCGTCTCTTCATGGCCCCTTGTTTTTCTTTCCCTTTTAATTAAAAACAAGGTTGAGTTCGAACGAAACGTATGTACATATAATTAATTAACATGATTAAGAAACTGCATTGGTCCGTGTTGATTATGAACATGTACAGCCTCCGATCCACATCTAATCTTATCAGATGCGGGTCCCAGTATTTCTTTGCGGGGTCCTCCTAATATTTCTGATTTGAAAAGGATCGATGGCCCCTGTCTTCTTCAATTCGTTTTAAAGAATAAACTTGTAGTCAGGATTTAATCTCCATCAACGTATGGACTTGGGATCAAATCCTCGCTCCACAAGTTAATTGATGAGGATTTAATGTCTTCATGTACGGGACCCAATCATCCTTTTCATTACCAATTCATTGATATGACATGCTTTGCAAAGTCATATGCATCCCCTTCCAATCTACTCTTCCTCTCATGTCGCCCTGCATTTGGTTGCTTTATTTTATTTTATTAAGCCATTCTCTCATTATCTCTTTTGCGGAAAATGTTTATTTCTTTTCAAAAGAGATCAGCATTTTAAAATAAACAAAAGAACAAAAAACTATATAGATTTTATGTGTTACTTTTTCTATATATGCATCCCCAATAAAATAATGATGTGTTCAACAATACTATCCAACTTGAAGAATATTTTAGAGCAGTGTGTTGTGTGTGTGTTTTGAGAGAATGGATAGGTGCAGCGGTGGTGGGTTCTATATAAATGCCACTAAACATAATCCACAATTAATTAATGCGCGAAGCAACAGGGAGGGGAAGTGGCATTTGACTTGGAAACTTTTATAGTTTTACGGGATTTAGCGTTGTAAGCACTTAGGATTACTGTGATTCTCCCATCAAAACTTTCTAGATTGAGGAAGTTGAAGGGCCATCGTTATGGATTGTAACGTAGATTTAATTTGGAGGTGGAGAAGCAGCAGATGGTGACGGCATTATATTGATTCCGTGATAGGCCGTCAATATGTGTTTAAAAAAATATTAGCAGTAATAGCAGCGACGTAATTAATCTCAGTGCGTTTTGAATAAATTTGATTGGTTTGGATCACAATTCAATTCGTAACCTTTAATTCACCCGCCACCATTGGAGTGCTTTCTGTGGGAGTCCAATAACATTTGTCTCTCGAGTTGGCATCTTGCTCACTATCGTAGTCCAATACATAGGATAAATTAATCAAAACTTATGAGTTGATGAGATATATGCCTGATTATAAATTACGAAGCTAGGCAATAAGCGTAGAAATTATAAGCACAAACACTTGTAAACATAAACGTCTCGATGATCGTATCAATAGAAATATAGATCATACAACAACAATAAACACTCCGTTTATCTCTACACGTGTCGAAAATTAATTGACTTCAGTGGTATGGGCAGTTGTAGATGATTCCCTTTTCGGGCTCACTTTTCAAAGGCCGGCCGGGTTTCTAGGAAGTTCCTGCGAGGCCTCTTCATCACCCTATAAACACACACACACACACACACACACACACTTGGTCGGGTCATATTTGTGGATCTGGATCCACAATGGGCCGCGTATAGAAACGGATCATCCTCTCTTGCTTGTCTTGAACCTTGTGGTCTATCTCAAGTCTAAAGTCTGAACGGTGCCTCCTGAAAGAAAGGTGTCAAAAATGGAGGTATACGTGTACCCTCAAAACTTACTGATTAACTGTCAATCGAGCAGAAGACGTCAGTAGCACCATAGTCACTGGGATTTGCTCTGATACAAAACTACTACTCCGGTCCTAATTATAAGACCCAATTGACTTATTTGAGGAGATTAAGGAAGTAAGTTAAGTTGGTTATTTATAATAAATAAGTGTTGTTATTCCTAAAATATCCTTGCTAATTAAGTATATTGGCTAAAACTATCATTATTAGAAGGATTATCTTGGAAAAAAATGCATAAATATAAGAGAGAAAATGGATTGGGTCTTATAATTAGGACCAAATAAAAAGTCAAATTGGGTCTTATAATAAGGACCGGAGGAGTATATATGATTACTGCTTTTAGTTAAGAATTAGAAAGAATGCTACTTCCCCTTGAATCGTTAGATATGACGGTTATTAATGATAATGACTGCCGGAACCAGACCATCACTGCATTCTTCATAACTGTTTACATTAAATTCTCGTTTTGCATAGTGAATTTATGCAGTGCTTGCGATGGATTCATGTCAATTTGAAGAAACCAATATTATCGTAGAAGAGAGGAAATTTCAATATAATGTACGCACAGGTAAATTTATCTTGTCTTAATATTAAATATTTGATGTTGCAGATGTTTGTCAAGTCAATGGTATAGGTGAAAGAGATAGGCCAAACATAAAACAGAACCTTGTTCGTTCATACCACACCACACTGGCTCCCAAGGTCAAAGCTGCTTGCAAGGACAGTTCTGCAAAGAACACTAACCACTTGATCAAAAACAGGTGCTCTTCTGAAGAACGTGGCTATGGCCATCGTAGTAATACTAGAGACAAGATCAGCTTCTCAAATTGGTTCAACCAATTCAGCATTCTGCTCCACAGAAGCCTCAAAGAAAGAAGGCACGAATCCTTCAACACTCTCAGAGTCTCCCAAGTGGTCGCTTCTGCATTATTGGCCGGCTCACTCTGGTGGCACTCTCACTATACCAACATCCAAGACAGGCTTGGCCTTCTCTTCTTCATCTCCATCTTCTGGGGCGTCTTCCCAGCTTTCAACTCAGTCTTCGCTTTCCCTCAAGAGCGCCCCATCGTCACCAAAGAGCGAGCCTCTGGTATGTACACCTTGTCTTCCTATTTCACGGCCCGAATTGTAGGAGACCTGCCCATGGAGCTCCTTCTTCCCACAGTTTTCCTCATTGTGACTTACTGGATGTGTGGGTTAGAGACGGATCTGTGGGCTTTCTTGCTGACATTGCTGGTACTTCTGGGACACGTTCTTGTGTGCCAGGGACTTGGGCTGGCTTTAGGTGCGGCAATAATGGATGCAAAGCAGGCTTCCACTGCAGCAGCAGTGACGATGCTGGCTTTTGTGATAACAGGAGGGTACTATGTGCACAAAGTGCCATCTTGCATGGGTTGGATTAAGTATACATCCACAATCTTTTACTGTTATAGGCTTCTGATAAGTGTGCAGTATGGGGATGGCAATAGAATCTCACATCTTCTAGGTTGCTCTCATCCTCATAGGCAAACTGCTGGGGCTGGCTGCAAATTTGTTGAGGACGACGTGGTGGGCCAAATCAGCCCTTTGGGAAGCACTGCGGCTATGTTGCTTATGCTTGTTGTTTATAGATTATTAGCTTACCTTGCATTGAAGCGTATCAAGGGTTGAACGTAGCTACATATCTGTATGGCATGCTATGTGTATTATTTATTTACATGCGTGCTGCTATATTTGGAAGGTTCCGTATTATTGAAGAAACCCTTGGATGCTAGCATTTGAAGGACATCGAGATATCCTGAAACAGATGGGTCAATAATTTTAACTTCATACAGATCATCGATCTCTCCCTTAAATGTTTTATAATAGATGTTGGATTGACTAGTTGATTCCCGATGGCCCTGCAATGAGACACAATTTCTGGTGTAGAATTCAATTTGAAATGAAGTGAATCATTATACGTACATTTGGGCTTCAAATTCCAGATGAATCTCTGTCAGTTTCAATGTTCAGCGAAGATCTACAAACATTTTCTTCTTACAAACACTTGCGTTTTTGGGCAGACAAACTTTGATAATTGGCATATATGAAGTCTCATGCATTAATTGGGACCTACATAGAGAATATTCCGACATGTTCATACGAATGAAACGAGAGAAAAAACTTAATTGGGAAAAAAAAAGTGGGGGAAAGAAAGTAAATGAAAAGATGATTAATTTATAGATGTCGAGGGTATCAAAAACTAGGTGCATAAGGATAAACAAACTGGCAACAACACGTGCCGTTGAAGTATGTAAATGATGAACTCATAATATAGATGGCCATTATTGTTACTTCTAGTTCTTGGTATTTTTACTTGTATTTAAGGTTTGCTAATTATTTATATACATGCAAGTAGAAATTAAAGAAATGTTATGGAAAGATGTATTTGGACTCGTAAGAGAATCTTGTTACTTATAATTCCTAGTATTCTGCATGTTGGTTTGTGTTGCGATGCCTAGCTTGCTCTAGAATCCTAGCATATGAGAAAGACATGGCCAATAATTAGATAATATTATTAATGGATTAGACATTTTTCTCCTTGGCCATGTGAGTATATAAACCCTTGTCAGTATGAAATTTAATTTCTTTTAATATTTTGACAAATATATGATTAATCCTACTTTATTCATTATCAACATTTTGTCTATCTTATTGACATAAATAATATATAAGATATATGTATAGTGCCAACCGGTATGATTATATATTTACAGTTAAAAGTTTTGACAACATTAGTATCAGAATTTAATGCATGAAGAGCTGAATTAAAAATTGTGAATTATATGAAGATCTAATTATATTTTTCAATTAAAAAATAATTAATGTGAAAACATGGGCACAGGAGACAAAGACAGGAGTAAAAACATTAAAGAGGAGAAAATAAATATGGAAAAGGGGACAAATGGATATATTGCGCATTTATATTGTGACGTGTATTTAACAAGAAATAGAGCATTTATGCTGTGATGTGTACTGATCAAGAAATTGCGTATTTCGAAAATGTGATAGACAGTTAAGAGAGCAAAATAAAGCAAATGAGATTTGATTATGATTTGAATCAGAGATTTAATTTGTTGATGGATGCATATTATATATATATATATATATATAATTGCAAGTTAGAATAATATTGAATGCCGTCAATTGGGCAGGCCCCCATGTGATTGTACCCACAACACTTCTGCACTTGGTTTTGTCTCACCTCCTTTATTTTTATCTCCCTTTTTTATTTTTGTCATGTCTCATTTTTCCTCCTCATTTATTACTGCGGCCACTTTGTAACTTGCAAGTCACTGATTAATTAAAGGTATATATATTTCCCAGTTTGATAATAATATTTTACTAAAAAAATTTAAATGTAAAAACTTGCTTAAGTGTTAATTACTTTTAATATTTATATATTTACTTTCAATGTTTAATTTTTTATAATAAAAATATAACATATATATTAGCTGTCATTGGAAAAAAAAATGCTTGTGATCAATCTAACTTATTCAATTTTCAATTTGATTTTCATAATTCAAGATATTGCGAAATTTTAACAATAACGACTAAATTAATTTTTAATTAGTAGGATTCGATTGCGAATTTTGAGATTAAAAATAACATAATTATAAGGACCAAAATTATAATGTTTTCTTATTTTTAGTTACTTTTTCATGTATAATAAAGAAAATCTCTTACAGGGTCATATGCTTATTAAAAAAATATATCGTACGATTTCCTTTGGCGAATAATTGAATACACTATATATGATGGATATACGTACCTTGCAAAAATTGGGCAAGTGGAGTTAAAGTCATTTTAAAATGAAAATGCTAAAATATGCGTCAATATAAAACACATCAAACATGTTTATTTAATTTATTCGAAGTTAGCTTACGAAACCAAGAGGGAAAAAAAAAAGGTAGCTTAAATTTGAAACTTCTTTGTTTTTCTTTCTGTTTCGTTTTGTTTTTGACAAGAAAGTTTTTCATCATATTTGATCCTTCAACTTTAAGACTGGATATGTGCAAAGACAAATAAATAAATAAATAAAATAGAGCTACTCTCTTCGATCGCTAAGGAGCCATATAAATTTTTGCAAAGAATGGCAAGAGAATACAAATAGGGATAGCGAACTACATATTCTCTATTTCTTTCTTATTTCTTCTCTCTTCCTCACCAACATCCTCCAGATCTCAAATGGATTCTTCTGCAGGTCGTAACCACCATCTCCAGCGAAGGCAATGTGCCGGAAAACGCCCATCTTCCCGCCGGATTCCGTCGTTCTCCTCCTCCTCCTCCTCTTCTTCCTCCCTTGATCAGTCAACGTGTTCTCATGATGATTCGCTTCTGGGTCCTGCAACCCCTCTTAGATTAATCTCCCGCATCCCGTTCTCCTGGGAACATTTTCCCGGAATCCCCAAGAATCATAACCACAACAACAAGATCGAGCCCTCCCCCTCCCACAAACTCTTACCCTTGCCTCCTCCGACAATCACTCATCTTGAAGATCATCAAATTCGGACTCGGAAGAAGAATTTGAGTCAAGGTAGTTTTCAAAGGGATCCTTTCTTTGCTGCTCTAGTTGAATGCTCAAAGTCTAAGAACGATTATGATCATCATGAAGAAGCTTCCACTAGCAGCAGTCTCTGGAATAACAATGTGGCTAAGGTTTCGAGAAGTCTCAGTGGTCGTTTTGAGTTTGTCAGTTTTTTTGCTTCTTGCAAGAGAACCTGTGCTGTTTCCGAATCTCTGGTTCATCTTCCAAGCTCCAGAAGAACAAGCTGAAGAAACAGACACACCAGACACTGCCCCCTATACAGACAATAAACTTTGATATGTACATGTGTTATTGTGTGCTTGTTTATTGTTTTATTTTACCGTAAGTATTCATGGAGCTTTGTGTAGAAGAAACAATAATGGACACGATAGCCACCGATTCCTCTAAGATTTCTGATCTCGGAGATTCCTAGCTAGCTGAAATGTGCTGTTGTTCTTGTCGGCATTGAGAAAAATAGAGGTATTTTCGTTTTTTCCCCTTGTTTTTATCTTTTTTTTAGATTTTGATATTTGCGAAGACAAGTTTGGCTTTGGAAACCTGAGCTATTGCAATGCGTTGATGCAAGTAGGAAGTAGAGACAAGGATTACTGAAAAATATTTTGATCATTTTTTCCTAAAAATAGGGTGATGTTTTTTGGCATTATCCGACATTGAAATAATGTGCAGTATACAATACGTGGATGTTCTGGATTTCATGTGACTGTCATATTATGAGTGAAATTTACATTACTCCATGTGGGAATTATAGTCGTACGCTGGATCACTGTGGAAAGAGTGCAAAGTTGTTGATTCTTTGACTTTGGTATTCATTGGTGAATGTGATCATTTCTTAATTCCTAGTTACGATTTCAATAAAAACAACTGCGTATGCAGAATTAGAGTTGGATAGGTGTGGCCTATTTTATCTGCAAGCATATATATATATATATATATATATATGTTGATGTATGTTTTTGCTTTTTGTTTTTTTTTGTTTTGGGCCTGAGTTGATGTATGTTTTTTTATATCATTATTTGTTAGGCCAGATTCAAGTCGTATTATAGGATGATGCACGTTATTCTTAACTTCTCTGTTAATTTTGAAACCTCCTTTTTGGTAGTAATAATACGAAAGGATAACGACTAAATTATGCAATAAAGTTTGTGTTTATTTAGAAGAGAATATATATATTTGGATTAATATAATATTTGGTCCTTCAAGTTTGTCCTTATTTTGGTTTTGGTTCCTTAAATTTTAAACAATAGGTTTTGGTCTCTGAAGAGACAAAATAGTCCAAGTTTTTATTAGATTATAGTGACTTGAAGAATCAAAACCTTGTTATTGAAAATTTAAAAGACCAAAACTAAAATAAAAATAAATTTGAGGGACCAAAATTTGTATTAGCCCTGTATATTTCGTACAAGAAACTTGCAAACCGAAAGGGTGCACTGAATTAATGCCTAACGAGATTCCAGCTTAGCTGTAAATATATTTCTTTAAAAAGTCATGGCAATTATTTCGGTTTATTTATAATTTATAATTAAAATGAAAAGGCATATATATATATATATATATATATATATTTTGGGGTTGGGGCAGCCAGTGAATGCATAGGAAGCATCCAACTAAATATCATAATTGGTTTAGACAATGCTGGGACTCGGCTTTTGGTGAATGGGTCCGTAGATCTATCTGTGTAAACAATACCATAATGCAGCACGCATATTGCTTGCTGTACTATTTTGTTCAGATCCCTCCGCCTTTCGTTACAATTTAATTATCATCGTAAGGGATTATTTATTTAAAATAATAAATATCACTGTGAAAGTCATTTAAATATGTGGCTGTGTTCACTGCTCTCTGTTATATACTACCTCCAATCCTTAATATGAGAATTCGTTTGATTTTTACTTTGGTATAAGATATTAAACTCCAATCTATTTTATTTCTCATATTTATCTTTTTTTTTCAAGGTAGTCCTTCTAATAATAGTAGTTCTAACCAATACACTTGATTAACAAAATATTTTAGAAAAGATAATATTTATTTATTACAAATAACTAATTTAACTAGTTTTCTTAATCTTTTTAAATTAGTTAACTAGTTTTTATATTAAGAATTAGAGATAATATTATTAAGTTACTGAGCACAGAGCAGGCGGCAGACGGCTTCCAATTCCATCTCTATAGAGTGGGTGTACGTAATTGATTTAGTTTGGAATCAGGAGTAGAATAGCAGGAAAATATATATATATATATATATATATGAATGAAAATTTGAAATATTAAAACCAAATTATTAATAAAAATATTTCTCAGGTGTTAAAATAGTAATCTCTATTTAAGAGTATTTGTATTAGCTAGGTGGTGTGGGATATATTATTCCTTTCAGAGCGTGTATTTGGTCTTGTCTCGCAAATCGGATTCAAAAATAATTTTTTATTGGTTGTTTCAAACGGAAAATGAGTGGTCCATGATGGCTATATTATTCATCTAATTAAGTGCTCCTAATTTATTAGGTATTTATAGCTTTCCCCCATTTTCATGGTTTTTGCTGATACTAATGGTGTGGCTATTTCATTTGTTTCCTTGCCTCTATGAAATGAAATATTAATTCGATTTATCTGCCACTTCATTTTTTTTCAAAAGAAAAAAATTATGTTCTTCATCACTGTTATGAAATGAGCAGAATCAGTATTTAATGTGCGTGCGTGTGTTTTATTTTTTAATAAATATGTGTTATCAGAAAGGATATAAAAGGGGGAAAAAAACCAACAATAGCACCCGAAAGAAAACGGACAGCAGAGAATCAATTTTAAGAGATATACCAGAGTGTGTAACGTTGAAGATTGTTTAGAAAACTGAAAGCGGTAATCTTCTTTATTCTTACTCACTACAATTTGGTTTATATACTTAAATTAAAAGTATATTGTTTATCATTTAATTTTACACAAAATATTATTTTGGTTCCCTAACTATATAATGTTTTTTTAAGTCATCTGACTGAGTTTTGTTAACCAAAAATACGAATATTAGAGTTTTAAATATTAATAATATATTTTCAAATACTGATATGTTAAGTTTAATTTTTTGAAATAACTATTATTAAAATAACAAATTCGATGTTAAGGTTGAAGGATTAAATATTTGCTTTATTTTTAATTTTATTTTAGAGTTTTTACGCTGATCGATGTATTACTGCTCAATAAACCCTTTTTTCAATCAATGAGATTGTTTTTACACGATTTTGCTATTCAATCATGATGGAAAAATGTCATGTAACAAAACAGATTTAGTTTTATTTCCCGGCCAAAAAAATAGGATTGGTTTTATACAAATACTTCTCGATGCCATGGTCAACAATTTTTTTTTGGCAATCTCTTTAATCTTTTAAGGCATGGAATTGATGCCTGTGAAAACTACTTATAAACATATTATTTAAAATATGCTTTAAGAATTGACACTACTCTGACCATATCTAATGCTCCAATTTCTACCAAAATCGTAGTTGATGCTACATTGTTGATAGATAATAAATATTAGATGCGACTAACAAAGAAAAAGTTACCAACATGACGACACTAAAGACGGATTGGCTACTTCCATAAAACATATAATGCATATTAAATAGTTAAATTTTTTAATAACTTTGAAAATTAATATGTAAATGAATAAAATTGATTTGATGGTAATTACAAATTTATTTGGTGATCTCTATGAATTACTTGTCTACTTGGCTACCACTATTTAGAGAAGCAACCAATAAAATTTGCAATGTAAAGCGTCATGCCATCAATACAGCCCACATACAAGTAAACAACACTGAGATTTGAGTATGGATGCCCAGCAGTCGATAGATGATTTCAAAGAAATTTGTGCTTGAATTATTGCCACATGATCTACAGTCATATAACTTAAGATATGCATGTGAGGGCCTTGCAACTGTTTTCAAGGTCTTATAAATGTCTGCCTTTAAAGGAAGAACAGCCCTAGAACATATCACAAAATTGTACAAGTAAAAGCCATATTGACGCCATGAAGCACGCGCATATCAAAATGGGGAACTTTGACACTACCCTTGAAGGAAACGCAAAACCTCTCCATAATAATTAGGCTCCCCAATGGGAATGCTGATTCCAGAGCCAACAGCTATATTGCGAAATGTCCCTGGTCAGTTTTAACAAAGATGCCAACATGTGTTCATTTAATCCTGCTTATCTCCAGGTTTATACTCTCTGCTCTGACCCTCCAACACAGAGCTTCTGGCATGATCACCCTGGTCTTGATTCGGTACTCTCTCATAACCATCGTCTCCTTTGTATAAGGTCTGAATAAGCATCAATACCGCCACCACAAAAACAAAAATGTAAACCATTCTGATGTCGAAAGATCTATGGAATACTTTCAGCAGTGACGGGCCACTAGTTCTTTTCTGCAATGTTTTGCCTTCCCTGTATCCTTCTATTAATTTAGTTATCTGGGTTGCTTGATCCTCCCCATTTATGCTTTCAGAACCAACAACCTGAAAATCATTATTTAAAAACAAAAAATTGGCAATGGAAATTTGAGTGAAAAAAGAAAGCATCAATTATATAATTTAAGTTAATATGTTTGTTTATATATACGTAGTACAGGGAGTTTTTAAGTAATGCGAACAGCAGGATCGAAATCAACTATCCTCATGCATTAAATGAGAGGTAAAATAAGATATTTGAAAGTTTCGCTTGGAAGAATGACTTATTCAACATTTATGGTGAACAAACGCATTTAGTCCTGTCTGCAGTTTACCTTTGAGGAAATATTGAAGAATAATCAATATTGAAAGTGACTATGTAATAACACAGATATATCCACTAAATTTAATAGAAGCATCAGACCATAAAAGGGGATATAGATGCTGTTGACCTTGAAATTTGACATCACATGTTCCCATTAGATAGTGAAACCAAATCCATGACAAGGCACAAAGATAAGAAGACTAATGGAGGTTGAAAGCCACCAATTTGCATCGAATTTTTACAATTTCACTTTACCCCAATAGTTTGCGACTTCACGACCATTATGTACATCAATATCATGAAACTTCAAAAGGATTGATGAACTAATCATAACAGGGTATCTCAAGTCTAAAGCACCCTCTGAAAATGTTGGCCTATCAGCTGTGCATATATTCACAAATTTTGAAATGTTGTATGTTTTTTCCTCCATGAACCCATCCCAAATACATGCATAACATATATATGCCAATTGATAAGACATTGAAAATGTAAACTTGAGATTATGCAGCTATGTAAAACGGAAATCAGAAATCACTTAGAGAGCAATAATTAGGATAAAATAGCTCCTTCTAAGGTAGAATGCGAAGACTTACAGTAAGGTAATCATCACTTCCATCCCAAATGACCATCTTTGGTAGTTCAGTACTGATGTCAAATTTCTCTGCAAATTCCTCCAACTGTGCAACCCCAACATAACTAAATATTAAATCACGGTTTGCAGATGCAGCAGCCTTCAGTAACTTAATCAGTTCCTTTGTTTTTTCTTCATTTTCATCCTCCACAATTGTTAGAACAATTTTTCTCCCATCAGAACTCATCAACTTCAGTGTGTCGTGGGATACAGGAACAGCCAAAGGGATCAGGTTTTGTTTTACAAAATCTTCCAAAAATTCCTCTGTCATTTAAAATGAGGACAGGACAAACAAAAAACCATGTCATGATGCATCCAAGTTGAAGCATACATAGCAGTTAAAAATGATGAATATAGCATTATGATGTGATGGCAGAATTCGCCAACATGATTTTGTATGCATATACGTGTGGACGGGTGTGTCATAGATATTGAACTCAGATCATGCTTAGAAGAAAAAATTGCCATGAAAAATGTATCAAAAGTTCTTCACCTACCTAAATTGTTCCCACAACGAAAGTTGCATTTTAGACCATTACATTTTATCTTCAGTTATTATTCGTATGCTACTCGTATGCTATCTGATGATAAACAAATTGATTCTAGCCGTGAGATACCATGAGTAGAAACAGTCAGGGAAACCATAAAATCCTGCCCATATCATACGAGCTGCAAAGATAGGAACTGACAAATAGGTCTCCGCCCATCAAATATTTTCAATACAAAATGCATCTCCTACATGAGCAATTGGAGCTTAGAAACACCTTCTTTAAAATTGGCATCATAAACGAAGTAACTATCATGTCATCATCAAAGTAGCAGATGCACGCACATAATCCAGGAAGTGTTAAACCCAAGGCAAATGGCAAGAGATGTGTACAAGAGAAGTGAAGTACACGGAAACGGTATTTACAAAGTACTAATTAGTATAAGATAATTGCAAACTATCCATGTTCTTTCAAGTGCAAACTAACCTTCAAATGGACCATAAAAGGTGCTCCGCTCATTGTAACTTGGGTTAATAGAAACCAAAGCAGGAACCTTATCAAAATCGTACACCACCATAACATCCTCCGAAAAATCCTTTGCTACAGAAAACCAGGCATTTTTCTTATATTTTTGGGCTAACTTTTCAATCATCGAATTGTTCAGCCCAAAGCCAATATATATGGGGAAAAAGGTGCCAGCTGCTTCAACAAAGTCACTGATAGCAGAATCTGAATCAAGGATGGAAACATCAGAAGCAGCAAACTTCTTCAGGTAGCGAACAAGTAACTCTGCTTGCCTTGGTCCCCGATATTCAGTGGGGATACCATTACTGAACAGCATAAGGCTAGGATATGCGCTACATCACAGAATAAATTTTCTATCATCAGTTCATTTCCAGTAAAAATATCCTGATGTATTCTCCGCTCTCTCTCCCTCCCTTAAAATGTTTGTTAATTTTATAGTCTAGTGCTAGCACCTCATAAGCTAAGGAAAAACGGGAGAAAAAGCATATATCGAGGTTGTTAAAACGAAGATTATCTTCATATCAAATAAATAAATAAATAAAGATTATATTAATAAGCAATATACAGGGACGGAACAACATACTCAACGTCATATTTTTTTGCAAGGCTGGTAAACTTGTCTGCATTTACTTTTGCAATGACAATGGGTTCCTTCAAGGCAGCAAGTGCAGGGGCAGCAGCATCCAACTGCAAGGCAACGAATTAGATATTTTATTCGTCTCACTTAGAATAAAACATAAGAATAACTAAGCTAATATACCTAATTAAGTAGAATCAAACACGAACAGCTATGTTGTGTGACAAACCTATTGCCGCCTGCCCTAACCTCTTAGATGTTCAAACTCAACAGAAAGAAGCATTCCTATAATAAATAACACCAATACTAGTTTACAGCACTCTTTTGTGTAGCAATACACAAACAGAACAGAGGAGTGGCAGCGCAGTTGCCTCCGCTAGATCGCCCTACAATGTTTGAACGTGGATCGGAGTTCAATTTGAATTAGGAGATTCCAAGCTAGTGAAGATCAAAATAAAAAAAATAAAAAAAAAATTCTCCTGCCTAATAAAACCACGGGTAACCCCATGAAAGGTTGAATACTATCACTATCTGAGCTTCGAGTCGCCCAAAGTTGTCCTCTGGAACAAATCAGAGGACATATGAAGCGCATACCTCGGGAGAGAGACGCTTGCAGTGACCGCACCAGGGAGCGTAGAAGTCAACGAAGACAAGGTCGAAGGTCGATATCACGGAGTCGAAGTTGGATTCATCCAATTCCAACACCGTCCCATCCACCGAGAAAGGCTGAGCGGAAGAAAAAGCCGAAAAATTTAAGAGCAAAGAATGAATCAGAAGAAAAACAGACGCAACCAAATGCTTCATCTTCGATCCGATTAGCAACAAGGCCTCTCTCAGCGCCCCCTTTTCTAGTCGACTTACCTTTCCTTCTCCGTTTTCATTTCACAGTTCTACTATTTTTGTTAGCGGCCGTTCAGAGCAGGTGAGCGTTCCAGCATAAAAGTTCAAATTCATCGATTTTTTTCTTCCCTTGTTAATATTTTCGATACTATTTATTTACAAAGTAATAAATATCCATTCATCCTCAAAAGATAAACAAGCAATTTTAAAATAAATTTATCACTAAATGCGATTAAATAAATAACTCAATATCAATATATTGGACTGAAGTTGAGCTGACATTAATGAATTGTATTTTAAGTATTTTAAAGTTTAAACTATTACACACACATACACATAGGGGTGTTCACGGGACGGATCGGGACCGGGACAGGCCCGTCCCGGTTCCGTCCCGATGAACAGTAACGGGACAGATTTTTTGTCTCGTATCTCGTCCGTCCCGGGTTGTCCCGGTCCCGATCGGGACGGGACGGATCCAGGACGGGACCAGAACGTCCCGAAATAATTTTTTTTTAATTTTTTTTAATTTTTTTAAAAAATCTGATTTTTTAATTATATTTTTTTGAGCTTAAATCTTATAAAAACATCTTTTTTATTTGTTTGGGCACTCTTAAATAAAAGCTCAAATATTACATATAATAGTTATTAAAAACTCTAAACAAAAGCTTTTAACACAATAAATGACTTCACGCCAACGAACAAAGAGAAAATTGCATCGTATTAACTTGCTCCAGAGCCGAAGAAAGCATCATTCCAGTGATACGAGTCAAGCCCGAGACGTTTAGCATACGAAATGAAAATAAGCAACTATCTTAAATAACGTATTAGACTTGGGTTCATCGGATGGACCAATTGGCACAAATTTGTGAGATCAGGCAATTAAGAACACAGGCCAAGACCACGGACACGAGCCATGTCTTCTTCCTACATCTATGAAACAATAAAATTATTCAAAGGCAAATCTAAGGTTACACAGTTGCACAGTTCCAATTGGAGACGAAACACAGTTCAAATTTGTTGCTAAAATTCTAATCATCAATAATCTCAAATCATTAACAAATATAAAAACTCTAAATAAATATATCCATAGTTCCATACAATAGTCTCAAATCTTAAAAAAATATGAAAAAAATGATATTATATAAAAAATTAAAATTTTTTTTTAAAAAAAAGGAACCGGGACGGGACCGGGACGGGACAACCCCGTCCCGTGTCCCGTCCCGTCCCGGTCCCTTTTTTGTCCCGTCCCGATTTGTCCCGTCCCGTCCCAATAAGACCGGGACCGGAACGGACCGACCGGGACGGGCCGGCCTTAAACACCCCTACATACACAGATATATATATATATATATATAATATTTTGTTCGATAACAATATATAGATTGTGTCTTTGGGAATCAGCATAGTGTTGGGATGGAAAAAGAACAAAAGAATCACCATACTGCAAAACATCATCGTTGTCATTCTAAAATGCTGTATGTGCACGCTGCATAGTCAATGCGGGTCAATTTGAAATTACTGAAAATTTTTAGTATATATGGAATTGGAAATATAGTCACACACACACACGCGGCATAAGCATGTTTTAGTTTGGATACGTGAGATCCGAACCGAATTGCATGTTATTGATAGCCAGTGGACAGAGTGACAACCAAATGGTCCAAATACCAATTTAGCTGTAGGCATTGGCGAATATCTAGTCCATAATTTATTTGGTTTCTTTTTCTTTTCTTTTCTTTTTCTTGGGTGGTTGTTTTTTTTTGGGGGGGGGGGTTGTTTAGGCTAAACATGGATTAAATTGGGGGATTAGAATTTATTTCAGAATCGTTCACCAATCAAATTATATATAGTTGCTAAAATACTTAAGTCCAGTGGCCAAACAGGCAAGCACCCACTTGCGAGCTGCGTCCCATGAATTTGCCCCTGATTGTCTGATTGCATGGATTCAAAATACATTGTTTTTGACCAAGCCAAGAATAAGGCCCTCATCTAGTAACAGCCAAGTCCCAAGGAGGAGAGAAAGACTAACTGTATTTACTTACTATCATCAAAGAATTGTCAACCGCATCTCACACTATTCCCCACGTGTCAACTATGATACACCAACAACGCAACTACTGTGATCTGGCTTCACCAGTGGATTCATCATCAATCAACAATTTCCTCAGGACAGCCGATATACATATATATAAGAAGAAGAATAATCAACCTCAGGAAAACAATCCGTTTCCCTATATCTAGATCACAAGGCCTGTATGATCCATCTTTGATCTGTCTGTCACCATCAAGCTAATCTACAAGTCCACCAAAAAATACTACTCCTAGGTTCTTGCATTCCTTCCGCCTTTTCTGCTAATAGCCTCACATAGCCGGCATGGAAGGGTGTCAAGACTCACTGCTCGAGTTCTTCCGTAATTACCCAATACGCCACATCTTCTCCATGCGTGGTATTCGGCATATGCTACTGGATCATTAGCTAGGCTCTTCACATATGAAGCCAGTTCTTCCAGGGACTTGAACTTTGTACCATCGATTATCGAATGCGGAGGAACAAAATCCATAACATTTGGTGCACCAAAATATATCGGAACCGCACCAGAGTCCAAGGCATAAAATAACTTCTCTGTCACATAACTTTCAGTCCAAGTATTCTCAATTGCAAGAACAAACTTGTAGTGAGACATGGCACAATGCAAGTGATCCCACCATTTTGGGGTCACACTAGCATCATTTGCACACTTGGGATAAAAAGATAGCGCCATGTCTGGACCACCAACATTATTAAGGCATTTGCCAAATGAATGGTGTGGCAGCAAGCTCAGTAGTTTCTCGGCAAGTTCATTCCTCTGAGAAAGACACCTTGACGAAGACCAATAAACAAGTGTATCCTATGAATGACAAATAAGATTTAGCTACTATGAGCCCAAATTTTTCTTTTATTCTATCATCCTAATATCCTTAATGACAAATCACTTACATTGTTTTTGTATGGGGAGATATGATAGTTTCGCCCGTTGTGAAACAGAGCACCTGCATAGGTTGACTGTACATCATCTTCAGCATGATAACTAATAAACATCTCTTCTCGGCCTGATCGCCTTCTACCAGCTTCAAGATCCATGTATACACGAAGAGGTTGTCCAATACGTCTCTGAAATCAAAATAAGAAAGAAGTGAAATAAACTGGGCCAAATGGAGATTCAAAAAGTACACACACAAACACAAGGAGCCAAAACAAAAACACTGAACTGAACTGTACACAATCAGCACCACAAACTAGGTCATGGCTTGACACTTGAGCCGTATAAGGTAGTGGAGGTACAATTAAGCCAAAGCCATAATACTTTTACGTCCCCAGAGGTAGGGGTTAGTTTCAAATTGAACATGTGATCATTGGAGGAAGCAACAACGTTACACTATGCCTAGTATATCATCATATAGCCTACAAGGAGGAAGATAAAAGTTAAGGATACAAATTGAAATGACATTGTGTTATGTTTATTGGTGAGATATTGAGACAGTTGGATAGGTTTGCTTCCTCTGATAGCTACACATTCAACAGGTAAACTAATCCTAATAACAATTTGGACAGGATAAGCAATTAAGTTATTGAAAATTTCTGCAAACATTTGGGGCAATGATCAGAGACTTAAAATGAAAGAATATGTGTCTTTAGCCCATAGTTTATAGATCACTTTTATGCCACAATGTCTCAGTAATGCTTCTTCAGAAATAGTTGCCACAGGGAACATAGTTGCCGCTGATGCTGATAATGGGAGGGCCAATTATCTATGGGATATGTGGAGGAATTTGATGCGAGGAAGCATAATAGAATGAGAATGCCCACTTGGAAGTTAAGGAATTATTAAGGGGCCGATGAAAAAGAAAAGGGGCATGGATAAGTGGATTCTCTTTCTCTGGCGCTTTCTTCTTATTCATTGATTTTTCCTCTGCCACTTTCTTCTGATTCCTCTTACTGAATTTGACAATTTGAACTTAAAGTAAACTGGAAATGACTTGAGTATATCACACCTTGTTAAAGAAATAGATCCAGAGGAGACCTATTCAGTTACTTGGTATTTGTGATTCATGATTGTTAGCTACCTTTTCACACCCCTTCCGTTGTATAGATGTTCATGTTTCAGGGTACGAATTAATGAATCACATTTTGTGAAACACATAATGTAAGGAGCATCTAAAGGAAAGAGCTCCGCTATTATAGATTTCCCCTGAAATTGGTCACTCATAATTGAAACGTAAGAAATAGAATTATATCACATGCATGAAGTTCAGCAAATTCTGAAGGATAGAGATCCTAGGGATAGCTACACATCAGGTTCTCATGAATGCACATAAACATCGACCTGATCAACCCTCTTATCCTTCTTCAGCATACTAGATTTAAATTTCTAGATAGGAAATCTTTTCAAATCTACGAAACCCACCATCCTTACCAAAACCGTCACCAAAACTAGAAATGCCAATTTCAGGAGAATTAATCAAAGGAATGAACCATTTTCGATCAGAGACTTACCCGTAGTGGAGGCGTGGTTGTTTCAAACAACAAGGCATCAGGCTTGTCCGCCAAAACAGAAGATTTCGTCCATAAACAGCTCAACCCACATCGGCAAGAGTACAAATTGTCTAAATTATCGGGAATCCAAGTCCATCCCTTGACCAAAACGCTAACATGGCTCGATTTCAAGCTTCCACATTCCGATTCACCGCCAATCTCTTGCAAAGAAGAAGTCTTTGATTTGTTTAGCAGGTTAACTTCACCGTGTTTCTGCCTGAACCGAGGACAACCCACCTGAGAGTCCCATTTCCTGAAGGCACCCACCAGATCGGTGAAGGGTTCTGGTACAGAGGTGGTGGAATCGTGGATGGGTTGGACGGATGATGATACGGAGGGAAGCTCAAGGACACCGGAGAAGAAAAGGATGAGGAAACTGAAACTAATCATGGCAGCGACGGTGACGGAGTTAACTGGTTTCGATGGCATGGTTGACTCTTATAGAGAGGGAGAGAGGAGTGTGAAGGATTTTCAGAGAAATGGAGGGTGCATGAG